TTTTTTTTTTTTTTAAATCTTCGAATTTCACATTATTATTATTATTATTATTATTACAACTTATTGAAATTTGATGATTGATTGCGAAAGACGACAAAAATTTCTAATTATGGCGAATAAATTATGATAAAATGTAAATTTTGTGCATTACCAAAGACTCTAAAAAAAAAAAAAATTTGTTTTTTGGAAACTTGGTCGCCGCCATTTAAAAAAAAAAAAAAATATGTACATAAATTAAAAAATTAATTTTTAAGTGTAAACATGTTACCTCCCCTTTTCTCCCTCCTTTCCCCCTCTTTTCCCCCACCTTCCCTCCGGGAACGTGATGATGATGAGTTTATTTTTCTTTCGGAGCTTTTTTTTTTTTTTTTAATGCTCTCTTAAACCACACAAATAAACATTTCGACATTTGCGTAGATGTCTGTGCGTGTGCGTGCGTGTGCGTGTAACCTGTTCGCCATTGCTACTGCCACGTGGCAGGATTAAATAGTTTAAAAAAAAATATTTAAAATAACGATACGTTTGAGAAGAACCATAATACAGTCGAGTGGTTTTTTCTTTTTTTTTTTTTCCTAATGGTAACAGTAAAAAAAAATAAGGAGGATGGGGAGGGGCGGGGAGCGGGGGGCTTCGGTAACGTTATTTAAATAACCACAGTTAATTTGTGCAACCGTGTAAAAAAAAAACAGGCAAATAAAACAAATTAAAAAAAAAAAAAATTGCAAAGCGTATGACCCACATATTACATAAACATAATTTTATATTTAAATTTTTTTTTTTTTTTTTTTTTTAGGTTTTACATCGAAATTATCATAACAACTAACTAACTAACTAACCGACCGACCGACATTAATTATAAAAAATATAAATTCACAATTTTTTCCGCCATTTTTTTACATATATATATATATATAATATCAAACGTCAAAAATGACAGTTAAAATACGATATTACGTCAGCATAAAAACGTCGGGTTTTAAGAAAAAAAAAAAAAAAAAAAATCTAGTACCACGTTTACCGGTCACCACCAACCGACCGACCGACCGATTTTTAATATATATATATATTTTCGCATTAATAAAAAAAATTCAAAAAAGAAAAATTATCGCACGGATGTGACGTCATTAATTTTGTTTTTCGACCGTTTTTCACGCTTGGAGTAACAACCATTTTTTTTTTTTATAATCACTCCCATCTAAATATTTAGTATCGTACTATATACTAACATTTTTTTTTTTTTAATTAACGGTTTTATGTATAAAGAAACGACATTGAGAGAGAGAGAGAGAGAGAGAGAGAGAGAGAGAGAGAGAGAGAGAGAGAGAGAGAGAGAGAGAGTGAGAGAGAGAAATGTCTGTCATTGACCAATGATATTTATAACGATCGCCATAAACCGTCTTATTAATTTATTTCAATTTGAAATTTTTCAAATAATAATAATAATAATAATAATAATGGTATTTTTGCCAACGCCTACAACAACTCAGAACATTATCTCGGTTGCATAATTTTCACGGCTTTCACAAGGCCGTTATTATCCGAAGACCCCCGGGGAGGGGAGGGCAGGGAGGAGGGAAAAGGGAGTCGATTATGAAAATGGAAGGGAGGATCATACACGCATTGCGAAATGACCGAAAACTCGGTTTACGAGTTATTATAGGTGAAGGTGATGTGCGTGAGTGGTGCGTAAGTTTCGATTGAAAGTTTTTTTTTTAAAAATTCGAATTCATTTGGATAAAAAAAAACCGGAAAAAGAAAATTTTACAAAAAAATTTTTTTTTTTTTTTCGTAATGGGTGTGACCAATATCGAAGGGCATGTCTGTTACTTCACCGAAAAACAAACCGTTATTGAATTTTATTGAAAAAAAAATTTATGACAATTTTCTTTTTTCCCCCTCCTCCCCCGCCCCCCAGTAAATGATTTCAAATAAAAGTTCACGCCTACCAATGATATTTCGTCATCAATCATCATCTTATTTCTTGGGGATCCCTGTATTATATCATTTCCTTTTTCTTCTGGCCCTTAAAATCCTCATATTTGAAACGTAAAGTTAAAAATTGTTGTAAAAACAAACGATTTCACATTATTATCATCATCATCATCATCAACACCATCATCATCATCATTATTATTATTATTATTATCATGCGTATCAATTTCTCTTTTTTTTTTTTAAAGATTTCGTAACGTTTCTGTAGTTTTTTATAAATCATGAGTTGGTTTTTCTCATTGCTCAAGTATATCGATAATGATGGTTGTTGTTGTTGTCGTGGTTGTTGTAGTGGTTGTTGTTTTATTTAAATAATTTTAAATTTTTAAAATGCAAATTTTATTTAGCCGTAGGAAATTTATTTTTTTTTTACAACTTTTCCAATAAATCGATCGCTCATGGGTTAAAACGTGAATTCCTTTTTTTTAAGTTTTTCTACCCTAAGGGAGGGGGGGTTTTCCTCTTATCATTACCTTTCTAAATAATATTAACTTTGAGTTTAATAAATAACGTAAAAATTGATAAGTGCGTGCGTGCGTGCGTGCGGGGGGCTATGTGGGGCTTTTCTTTTTTTTTTAAACGAGACTTTTACTTAATTTTTTTTTTTTTTCTTTTCTTTTTTTTAGATCTCGTAAACGTCGCCCGAGTACGTCAAACGATGAAAAAGACTATGATACCATGAATGAATGCACGGCCGCATTGGTACTTATGTCATTGTCTTGCAGTCCTCATTCACCATACACAACAGGTAAGAGAATCATTTAATTATTATTATTATTATTATCGTACGTAATCATTTTCAAAAAAACAACTTCATTATTATTATTATTATTACAAATTCCTCGTTTGAAAAAAAAAAAAAAAAGATGAGATGAAAACGAATCGTAACAGATGCCAACGTAATGCGATATAAAATTTATTATTATTATTATTATTTATTTAATTAATTTATCATCATCATCATCATCCCATGATTTTCGTTTTGTTCGAAACCACCCCCCCTTCTCCTTCCCCCTGAAAAAGGATGTTATTTAAGGTGTACGTTCGAGTATCGTCACAATTGCAAAATAATTTTTTTTTTTGTAAATAACACTTCACCTTCGAATTATTATTATTATTATTTCTTTTTTTTAAATAATAATTTCGTTTGATATTTGTTTAATTTATTTTCGTTTAAAAAAAAAAAACATTATCATTATTATCGTTTTTTTTTTTTTTTTTTTTTTAATGTTATTGTAAATAAATAATTTATTTGACCTTGTCAAACGTGAGGAAAAAAAAAAAAGAAAAAAAAATCAACGGTTTTTAAGGTTTTTTTTCAATTTTAAAAATTATCTTGTTTAGAATTTTAAAATTCTAAACCTTTTTCCTTTTTTTTAGAAAAACGATTTGAAAATTTCCCGCCTTCCGCTCCTCCCCACCCACCCCCGAAAAAAAAAAATCCTGTCGACGAAATCGTAATTGATTATATTTGACTGACATTCGATTGGTTTATATCAAATTTCATTCTTTCGTTGTCATTTACAACGACCTTCCCTCCCCTCTTCCCTCTCCCCACTCTTCCCTCTCACCTTCCTCCGTTGATAATCATTTTTTTTTGGGTGATGATGATGATAATAGAAAAATTTTCCGGACCGAATTTTCTTAAAATTATAAAAAAAAAAAAATTTGAGGTTTTTAATATAAATTAATAAAAACCGAAAAGGAAAATAATAATAATAATAATAATATTTCCGTACCTGTCAGGTATTATATACATTTTGATAAAATTTTAAAGGTTAAACATAGTTTTCTATCTTTGTTCGATTAGCGGAAAACTTTCACGTAAATATTTTGTTTTTTTTTTTTTTTTTCAAATAATTTTCCTTTTAAAACAACAACAATCGGGATTAGGTACGATTTCCTTTGATTTTTTCCTTTTTTCTTTTTCCTTTTTTCCTTTTCCTTTTATCCTTTTTATCGTAAAAAATATTCTATTAAAAATTATTATTTCTCAATAGATTTTTTTTGTTGTTTGTATTGATTTCGGTTTACGGGAAAAGTACGGGAATTTTCCGAAGGGGGGGGGGTGGGAGGAGAGGGGGGGGTCCACGTTCGAATTTTTGTTTTATACGCACAAAACAAACAAAACGAAATAAGAAGTCATTGTTTTGTGAACCACACAATGGAAACATATAAGTGTCAGAATAAAGAAAAATTTTTATCGAATTTTATTAATTCAACGGTGCAACACAAACCTGTAATTTTTTCTGCAACAAACGCAAACAAACACAAACACACGCCCTATTATCTATGGGTCATCGTTCTTCTTTTTTTTTTTTTTTCTAAACCTTTTTTACTACTCCCCAAATTTTATTTTGCATTTTTTTTTTTTTTTTTTTTGAACCAAAGTTTTGAAACATATTTAAGGTCGAAACTCTCCGATATTAAATTATTATCGACCTTAATCCATCGACTGAATATTATTATTATTATTATTATTATTATTTTTATAATTTCGTAACAACCGCTACTTATAGTCCAATAATAATAATAATAATAATAATAAAGTTACATCCTTTTATTAATATGCAAATATGTCGTCGTCGTCGTCGTCGTTTGAATTTTATATTTGGTGCGTAAATAGTAATAATAATAATAATAAATAACGGTAAAATTTTATTAAATTTAACCTTTTATATAAATTAATTTAAATATATATATATATAAAGTTTAAAAAAAAAATTATTTTTAAAATGCAAGAGAGAGAGAGAGAGAGAGAGAGAGAGAGAGATAGAAAAAGTGTTTAAAAATAAAAATTTTCTATGGAATCATTAAGCCGTGTGTGTGTGTGTGTGTGAGTTTAATGTGGGTTAATTATTATTATTATTATTATTATCACTGGAGATTTATTTCTTTTTTTGTTTTAAGTTCTTTTTGATATATATATATATATATACGTAGATGAAAATAAACACACACTCACATTTTTTTTTTGTTGCAATTAAATAAAATATTAAATATTAAGGATAAAAAAAAAAAAAAAAAAAAGTTGCAGAAGAAGAAGAAGAAGAGGATGAGAAAAAGTGAATGACCTCGTAGAACGGCCCAATTGTAGATGGACCCGTTGTTTTTTTTTTTTTTTTTTTCATTCGCGTGTGTATTAATATAAACTAAATACAAAGTTACCTCCGTGTCATCGAACCGTAAATGTTTATGCATGTTTATAAAAATATAACAAATCCAGAAAATTCTTTTTTTTTTTTTTTTTTCCAGGTTTTTCATACGAGCCATTATCACCATCACCGAGTAGCGATGTTTATTCATGGCGTTCCGGTGGTCGTTCTCCAACACCTAGTCCTCCACTTAGCGAAGGAGGATCAGGTTCGTCTATATGGAATCAAAGCACGACCGATGAAGGAATCGTCATTGATGAATTTGACGACATACCCAGAAAGAAAAGGGTGAGTTCGTATATTTTATATAACGGTAAAAATTATCATTCGATCGCCATTTTTAATTTCCACGTTTAATAATTTTGACACCCCGTCAAATCGTATGTAATGATTGATTGCGTTTATGTCGTTTCACAAGATAAAATAATAATAATAATAATAATAATCACACGCGTAAAAATAATGTTTACCTTGTAGTAGTAGTAATGTTAAAGCTAAAATCAGCTGTGTAAAATTACTATAGAAAGTCGGGAAAAATTCTTGGGAAGGTCATCAAGCTTCTTAACTTGCCAACAACTTGTGTCTTATTATTATTATGTGTCGCATTCAATGGTAAACTGGGGGGAGGCGGGAGGGGAGGGGAGCAATTAATTAATTTCAAAATTTTTTTTTTTTAAGGTTTTGCTTATTTTGACATTTAACAAATGACGACTACTACTACTACTACTACGACCAACCACAACAAATTAAAACTAAACCTACGAATAATAATAATAATAATAATAATATTTTTTTAATAAGTTGAGAGAAAAAAAAAAAAAAATTTTTCATCCATATTGGATTTTTTTTTTTATCAAAACCACATTTTTATTTCTTTCTTAATAACTTTGATAGTAATAAGTTTTAAGTTCCGCTTGAGAAATAATGCAAAATTATAAAAAAAAAATAAGGAATTTAAATTATGATAAAAAAAATATTACAAGTTCATTAGACTGCATCATTACAATTTCGGGTATTTCCGCTTTTATTTATAATTTACCTATAACATGTTTATTATTATTATTATTTAATTCCTTGACGACAAGTTAAGAAAATTTAATTTTTTTACAATTAAGTAAAAAATGCCCTTTAAGTAATTATTATTATTATTATATGCCAACTGCAAATAATAATAATAATAATAATGATAATGATAAAAAAAAAAAATCTGTCATCAGCTGATTTTGCCATATTAAACCACGTGCCTATTTTTATTAAATATCCTTGAACTATATTCGTAAATGCCACTCAGTTAACGACTTGTCGCGTTCTCAATATACATCCATCTACATGAATTTATTTAACTCTATTTTGCAACAGCCATTTCTATATATATATTTTTTTCCCCCTGATTATTATTATTATTATTATTCGTTGATTGGTGATTTTTGCCAAATTTTATTAAATCACAATTTTTTTTTCGTACTATACACCTCTCATTGTTATTTCTGTGTGTGTGAGAGAGAGAGAGAAAAATTTTTTTATTTACCGGGGCTCGGCTAAGTAATTTAGTTGTGAATGACGTCACACTTTTGTACTACGCAAATCAACCCAGGAACTGAGAGAGAGAGATAGAGAGAAAGAGAGGTCGCCATTTTAAATTGTTCGGTTTTGAAATTTCAAGGCTTTGTGCCAGGCAGGCAGGCAGGCAGGCTCGCTCGCTCGCTCTCATGGTCGTGCCTTCGTTCACGAGAATCGATTCAGGCGAAAATGTCCATTTACGGTGAGACATACAAAAACCCCGCATTCTCGTTTTTTTTCCCTCCAGGTTTTTTCTTTTCTTTTAAATATCTCTTTAGGGTTTAACATAAAGGGGAGAGAGAGGGGGTGGGTGGGGGAGTGACTTACTACCTCCTCAGGCTTTCAGGTTTATCCTTTTTATATGATTATTTAAATAAAGACGTATTATGTGTAAATATCATTTGACATTTATCAATTTTATTATTATTATTATTATTATCGTAATCGTAGTAGTCGCCATTGTTTTTTTTTTTTTTTTATCTTCTTAATATTTATATTTTTAAATCTTATTGTCATCATCAGTTCATTGCCATCATCATCCCCCGATCGAATTTTTTTTTTTTTTTTTGTCATTATTATTATTATCACAAAAATTATTTATGAAAATTTTATTTGTATCATTTTTTATAAAAACGAACGCCATTTTTTTTTTTAATGAAAAAGTGCAACTTCCTTCGTTATTTAAATGCTTTTTTTTTTTTTTTTATTTCAATGCCATCCGTGCAAGTTTTGCAGGGCCGTAAATTAAATTGCCATTGGATGCATTCCAAGTAATGACGAATGAAAATGCATTTTTTTTTATTCCCTTAATAATTATCATTATTATTCGAATGTTTTTTTTTTTTTATTTTATTTTCCGCCGGCCATTTTAAAGTAAGTTTACAATGTTTAACTTATGAATTATAACTTTACGTAACGTCGCATTTATTACAACAACAACATTCGTATAACAATTCTTTATTTAAATTGGAAGCTGCGTTCAGAAACGATGATAATAATAATAATACTAACTAATTCCTATGTTTATTACGGCATTGATTTTCATTGTCAAGTCGTGGTGGTGGTAGTGGCAGTAGTGGCAGTAGTAAAAATTTTAAGTTTTTTTGTATTGCAGAGAAAATGATAGAGAAAACCCCGAGAGAGAGAGAGAGAGAGAGAGAGAGAGAGAGAGAGGTTTCGAGTAGTTTACTTATGCGTTTCAGGCTTTGTTCAAGGTTTACCGCTTCTTCCACGTCTGACCTACTCACTTTTTTTTATTATTATTAGCGTAAATATTGTTTAAAATGTGCGAGGATAACCTCTAAAATCAGGCCTTACTAATGAAATTAATATTGCGGTTAATAATAATAATAATTGTCAGAAAGGTTTTATTTAAATCCTTTCAGTAAGATTTTTATGTCGTGGTTTTAATCGGTTGTTGGCAACCCTTTCTTAATAAACTAATATTATTATTATTATTTAATTATCTTGTTACTAAATTCTTAAATTCGATAAAATTTATTAATAATATTTTTTTTTTCAATAAAGTCGTGTCATTAGAACGCAATTTTTAACGAACGCGCAAAAGTAATTAAAAAAAAAAAAAAATTTTACCTAATGATGATGATGATGATGATTTGTTACGTTGACGTGAAACAAAATTTTTTTTTTTTTTTAATTATCTGCATTCGCACAAACTGAGAAAACTATAATAATAATAATAATAATAATAATAATAATAATAATAATAATAATCAGGTTTGGTTTTTTTTTTTTTTTTCTTACCTTCTTAATGAGTTGACGAAAGCCAAGGTCGTATTTTTTATTATTATTATTATTGTCACTTTTTAGAGAGTTGAAATCAGGGGATCCAACAAAAGAAAAAAAAAAAAAAAACATTTTATATAAAAATGGTTTGAAAGCAATTGTTGTGTTATTTAAAAAAAAAAAAAAAAAAATTTTTTTTAGGGGGGGAAAACATAAACGCGATGATACAAAAAATGTAGCAGGTGAGAGATTCATGAGATTTTTACCTGGAAAACATTCCTTACACACGCACACGCACACACGCACACACACGCATACACACGTTGATTACCTTTTCAATGGTAATGGGAAAGGGGTGCGCAGGATCGTAGGCCTTGAAATC